CTCTGGGCTAAACTCGGGGACTGGAGCCCTCTCTGGGCTAAACTCGGGGACTGGAGCCCTCTCTGAACTAAACTCGGGGACTGGAGCTCTCTCCGGGCTAGACTCGGGGACTGGTGCCCTCTCTTGGCTAAACTCAGGAACAGTAGCTCTCCGTTGGCTAAACTCAGGAACCTCTTTGGGCTGGATTCGGGGGCTGGATCCCCGCAGACATCCGCAGAACTCCCAGGCATACTCGACGAAGGGGAGATCACTACGGGCTAGGGCAATGAATCGAGCCGCGATCTCCATAATCGCGGGGGGAAAAAGGAAAACAAAAAACGTTCAACACGAAAACAAAAACGAGGAGAAGGGCAGAAGGGCAAAAACGCTTACTGTTATTGGTCCGGTTTTCTGTCACTATCGCTACTGTGAGGAGCGAGGAACGAGGAGACAAGGAGAAAACTTAAAACAAACAGACTTTAATGGACATCCATGGAACAAGGAACACACACGTAGCGGGGAGAGACGACATTCAATACCAGACAACGAAACTTAGAACTGGACTCACTATAAATACACAGGACTTGACAAGGGGAAGACGAGAAATACCTGGGATCAATAACCATAATTAAACATGAGGGCAAACTGGGTCATGGAGCACGTGGGGGAGGAGAACACGAGACACAGGACTGACAGGTGTAAAGAAAAAATAATAATAATAACATAAGGTATTTAGTCTTGTTTCCATGAGGGGAAAAAACTAATTTAAGTGCATTTTTCTTATTTTGCAAATTATCTGCCAATGGGGTAAGAAATTAAAAATATGCTTGTTTCCGTTTGCATTAAGATTATTTTTCTTACCCTATGGCGGACAATTTTACATGTTTCACGTAAAATGCACTAAAACGGAAAATCCCCCAGGAAACAAGACTAAATATCTTAGACCATTTTTCATCTATAGAAAATGCATCTTAACTTAAGAATTTTTAGATATTTGTACTTTAAATAAGACAAAAATACTCAGTAAGAAAAGCAATTTTGCAGCGTGAATGAATGAATAAGGCATTTAAACATTGCTTACACTTTAAAAAGGGGGAGGAGATGAAAAGAAACTCTGGGTTTACCGAAGAAAACCTGCTCCCGACCAGGTTAGGTTCACAGAATAAGTTACCATGGTAACTGACTCTGAATATTAGTTACCTCGCTTTCAGAAACGGGCTTGACTTACCCTGCTTTCCCGGGTTTGACAAACCTCCCATTTTGAAACGGAAAATCCAGAGTTTCCCTCATTTCAGGGTTTACATACTCAGAGTTTTCACTTAACCTCCTTTCTGAAACGGGCCCCTGATCACAATTCCTCCTTGATGGACTCGGAATAATGGTTAATAATTAAGATCTCTGTGAGATCTCTGTTTAAAATACAGACTTGTATGGATGTGATTTTCTCACTTTTTTTAGTATGTAACTTTAGTATATGTTTCTATGGTTCCAGTCGACCTTATGCTGAAGATCATGCAGATGTACATATGTGCATTGATCTCTTCTGGTCTTACATGATGTCCTAAATACAAAGCATCTCATTTACACTTAAAGCCACAGTGGGAAAGACAGATGTTGAGATTTGCATTAATCTCCTTCTACAAATTTTGTCTCTCAATTCAGACATATAGAGAAACAGAGACCAACCATTCTTGAACAGACCAAATTATTCTTAAACACATTCTTAAACAATAAGGCAGTATGGACTTCATTTTGCTCTAAGATTTAGTTGTTTCTGTTGTGTTTTGCAGAACTGGTTGGACCTGTCCAAAGAGATCAAGAAACAGATGAGAAGTGAGTATCACTCATATGAATGGATATGTCATGTAAACTGGTCTGTCATGTAAAATGTTTAACCACAAAATTCTGTCGGCGCCGATTGTCTAGTGGGCAGTGTGCCGACAACTAACGCCATTGCGTTTCGGGCATCCCAAGTTTGAATCCAGACTCAAGAACCTTTCCCAATCCTGCCCCCCTCTCTCTCCCCCACTTCGCTTCCTGTTTACTCTACACTATCCTGTTGTAATAAAGGCAAAATGCCAAAAATAAATCCTCAAAAAAATAAAATAAAATTCAGAATATACAAAGCCCCGCATATGACATACAGGGAAAAAAGTTAATTGTGTGCATGACTTAATTTGCTCCCCCGTTTTACTAAATCATGCGCACAACTTACTAACTCATTCCCTCCTTTTAAGTAAAACATGCACACAATATAATAATTTGCTCGCTAGATTTGATTCAACTAAAACATGCCCATGATTTAGTAATGTCTTACGCATGATTTAGTAAAATGAGGGAACAAATTATGATGTTGTGCAAGATTTAGTAAAACAAAGGAACGAATTATTATTTTGTGTGCACAAATTAGTAGATAGATAGATAGATAGATAGATTACACATGGTCCGAGCGAGCTCTGGGGCTGGAGCCGACACTGGAGCGAGCTCTGGGGCTGGAGCCGACACTGGAGCGAGCTCTGGGGCTGGAGCCGACACTGGAGCGAGCTCTGGGGCTGGAGCCGACACTGGAGCGAGCTCTGGGGCTGGAGCCGACACTGGAGCGAGCTCTGGGGCTGGAGCCGACACTGGAGCGAGCTCTGGGGCTGGAGCCGACACTGGAGCGAGCTCAGGGGCTGGAGCCGACACTGGAGTGGACTCATGGGCTCGAGCCAACAGTCGCTTCCTCCTTAAATTCCTTCCTTGATTTGGGGTTAAGGATTGTGCAGCTGTTGGCTGAGAGCTTGAGAGTGAACCGACCGGCGGGCTTGACAATGGAACCGCCGGCAGACTTGACTGAGGACGGCCGGCGGGCTTGACTGAGGAACGGCCGGCAGGCTAGACTGAGGTGCGGCCGGAAGGCTTGGGAATGCCGAGGCCAGCGGGCTGGTTCTGGTTCAGGGCCGGACGCTCTCTAGACATCGAAGGATCCCTTCCCTCCAGCTTAGTCCCGTGGTGTCTGGGAGGTCCACGGGGCAATGGTAATTGGCCCCGTGCCAGAACAGAGAGTTGATGGTGGCGTCATCTAAAGAGAACTCATCACATCCGCAGACATCCGCAGAACTCCCAGGCATACTCGACGAAGGGGAGATCACTACGGGCTAGGGCAATGAATCGAGCCGCGATCTCCATAATCGCGGGGGGAAAAAGGAAAACAAAAAACGTTCAACACGAAAACAAAAACGAGGAGAAGGGCAGAAGGGCAAAAACGCTTACTGTTATTGGTCCGGTTTTCTGTCACTATCGCTACTGTGAGGAGCGAGGAACGAGGAGACAAGGAGAAAACTTAAAACAAACAGACTTTAATGGACATCCATGGAACAAGGAACACACACGTAGCGGGGAGAGACGACATTCAATACCAGACAACGAAACTTAGAACTGGACTCACTATAAATACACAGGACTTGACAAGGGGAAGACGAGAAATACCTGGGATCAATAACCATAATTAAACATGAGGGCAAACTGGGTCATGGAGCACGTGGGGGAGGAGAACACGAGACACAGGACTGACAGGTGTAAAGAAAAAATAATAATAATAACATAAGGTATTTAGTCTTGTTTCCATGAGGGGAAAAAACTAATTTAAGTGCATTTTTCTTATTTTGCAAATTATCTGCCAATGGGGTAAGAAATTAAAAATATGCTTGTTTCCGTTTGCATTAAGATTATTTTTCTTACCCTATGGCGGACAATTTTACATGTTTCACGTAAAATGCACTAAAACGTAAAATCCCCCAGGAAACAAGACTAAATATCTTAGACCATTTTTCATCTATAGAAAATGCATCTTAACTTAAGAATTTTTAGATATTTGTACTTTAAATAAGACAAAAATACTCAGTAAGAAAAGCAATTTTGCAGCGTGAATGAATGAATAAGGCATTTAAACATTGCTTACACTTTAAAAAGGGGGAGGAGATGAAAAGAAACTCTGGGTTTACCGAAGAAAACCTGCTCCCGACCAGGTTAGGTTCACAGAATAAGTTACCATGGTAACTGACTCTGAATATTAGTTACCTCGCTTTCAGAAACGGGCTTGACTTACCCTGCTTTCCCGGGTTTGACAAACCTCCCATTTTGAAACGGAAAATCCAGAGTTTCCCTCATTTCAGGGTTTACATACTCAGAGTTTTCACTTAACCTCCTTTCTGAAACGGGCCCCTGATCACAATTCCTCCTTGATGGACTCGGAATAATGGTTAATAATTAAGATCTCTGTGAGATCTCTGTTTAAAATACAGACTTGTATGGATGTGATTTTCTCACTTTTTTTAGTATGTAACTTTAGTATATGTTTCTATGGTTCCAGTCGACCTTATGCTGAAGATCATGCAGATGTACATATGTGCATTGATCTCTTCTGGTCTTACATGATGTCCTAAATACAAAGCATCTCATTTACACTTAAAGCCACAGTGGGAAAGACAGATGTTGAGATTTGCATTAATCTCCTTCTACAAATTTTGTCTCTCAATTCAGACATATAGAGAAACAGAGACCAACCATTCTTGAACAGACCAAATTATTCTTAAACACATTCTTAAACAATAAGGCAGTATGGACTTCATTTTGCTCTAAGATTTAGTTGTTTCTGTTGTGTTTTGCAGAACTGGTTGGACCTGTCCAAAGAGATCAAGAAACAGATGAGAAGTGAGTATCACTCATATGAATGGATATGTCATGTAAACTGGTCTGTCATGTAAAATGTTTAACCACAAAATTCTGTCGGCGCCGATTGTCTAGTGGGCAGTGTGCCGACAACTAACGCCATTGCGTTTCGGGCATCCCAAGTTTGAATCCAGACTCAAGAACCTTTCCCAATCCTGCCCCCCTCTCTCTCCCCCACTTCGCTTCCTGTTTACTCTACACTATCCTGTTGTAATAAAGGCAAAATGCCAAAAATAAATCCTCAAAAAAATAAAATAAAATTCAGAATATACAAAGCCCCGCATATGACATACAGGGAAAAAAGTTAATTGTGTGCATGACTTAATTTGCTCCCCCGTTTTACTAAATCATGCGCACAACTTACTAACTCATTCCCTCCTTTTAAGTAAAACATGCACACAATATAATAATTTGCTCGCTAGATTTGATTCAACTAAAACATGCCCATGATTTAGTAATGTCTTACGCATGATTTAGTAAAATGAGGGAACAAATTATGATGTTGTGCAAGATTTAGTAAAACAAAGGAACGAATTATTATTTTGTGTGCACAAATTAGTAGATAGATAGATAGATAGATAGATTACACATGGTCCCTGAAAGTCCAGTAAAAAAATAAGTAGATAAATAAAATGAATAACAAGACATACCAAAATATTACCTCAACATTTTGCCTGAAATAAGTCATCTGCTGCAACTGCCCCTCTGACTAATCCAGATGTTATAAAGAGGATGTTCAGCATTGTCCAGTATTACCTGCAATTTTCTCCTCATACATCTCTACATTACCAATTCCACACAGTCCAAACTCCTGCAGTCACTGGTCTTAAGAAGCGAAGAAGTAATCGCTCCATGGTTTTCATAATGTGCAAAGTGAGTGCGACTAGTCTGAAATCATTAATCTCCTTCAGGCGCCCTGCTTTAGGTACTGGCACAAGACATGTTGTTTTCCACAGCAGCGGCACCTTCCCTGTCTGTACGCTGATATTGAAAATCCTCTGAAGAGGTTCGGCTAGTTGGGCTGCACATTCCTTAAGCAATCTCAGACACACACCATCTGGACCCACCGCTTTCCCTGGGCACATCCTTCCAAGCTCTGACCTCACCTCTTCTACTGTAAAGGTCAGGGAGTGGGAGCCAGGTTTGTAGGTAGTTGCGCCGACAGTACAAGAAGTAGAGGATCCACAGTGGTTCCTAAAAGGAGGGTGATTGAATAGCGGGAAGATTTATAGCTGCTGTAGAAGGTTAGCGACCGCAAGGAGAAGTAGATCCTTCAGAAGCATCAAACTTGCTGTAAAACAGTTTAAACTCATTGGCCCTGTCCAAGTCACCCTCTGTTGTCTGGCTGTTCTTCTTATAGCCAGTAATATTCATGCTTCTCCAGGCCTCTCTGATGTTATTATGCTGCAGCTTCTTCTCTACTTTCTTTTTGTATTCCAGTTTAGCCTGCTTTAGACTCTTCTTCAGCTCATGTTGAACATACTTCTTCTCTCTGTCTTCTTCTCTAAATGCCTGCTTTTTCTGATTGAGCAGCACCTTAATGTTGTTAGTGATCCAAGGTTTATTGTTAGGAAAACAGCGTACAGTCCTTGCTGGCAGTATCCCAACAAAAATTAATATAATCAGTGTCCCTACTGTTTTCCTTTGACTCCAACAGTACATTCCATTGAGTGCATTCAAAATAGTCCTTAAGTGACTCACTGGCCTCCCATGTCCACTTCCTCAAAGTACGATTTGTAGCAGGCAATTTCTTTACACAAGGTTTGTATGTGGGTTGGAGGAAGACCAGATTATGGTCTGATTTCCAAAGTGGTGGTTGGGCTATAGCACTATAAGCCTCCTTGACATTTGCATGCAACAGATTTAATATCTTATTTTCCCTTGTGAGACAGTCAAGTATGAGTATCGATGGCAGAAATGGCTTGTATCTCCACTTCTTGTCTCTCTGTTTTTACTTTAGCTTAGCCCCAGCTCTGCAGCCATGGTAAATCTTCTGCAGTATGAAATGTTTACCCCCGCATCTTGAACTTCTCAGCGCCTAAAGATCCCTCATATACATCAGTCTTGACTGCTGCATCACTCATAAGAAAAGAAAAAGCACACAAACAAAAATGCACACAGTGGATAAGAGCTACTTCGACATGCTGCCACTCAGCACAGCACAGGTGCACATTATGAAGAGGCAGAAATTAAAACGAGGGAACAATTTATTATATTGTGCACACAATTAAAAATGTTTTTCCTGCATGTCATGTGTGGGGCTCAGTATTACTTGACTCTGTGTTAATTTATGAGTTTAATTTAAATTATATTGGACTTGAATTTAAATGACAGGAAGAGAAATTCATTGAATTGCATTCGTTAATTTTCTTTCCTTTTGTAGGAACCCAAAGCTACGTAATGAAGCAATGAGAACACATCAGTGGTCACAAGCTCTGAAGCCCTATAAAATCATGCTAAATTAATTGGCTGATGGTGCTAAAGCACTGCTCATAAGGTGCTGCATCACAGTGCCCTTAAAAGTGAATGTTTGGCACCATCATTTCAGATTTTTTTAATCAGTGCATGATAGTTTAAGCTTGTTTTGTCTACCAACTCACATTCAAGCATATTTAATTTCCCAAATTGAGTGCAAAATGATGTTTAGAATATGTCTCTCTCATCCATGCACTTTATCGTCAGCAAAGACACATACAGCATGTGTCTCCTATTTGGGGGTCGATCATGCAGAGGCCACTTTAGAGGAATCTGGAAGCCCATAGTACGAGTTGCTGAGTATGTGTTGATTACATCACGGATGTGCTCTAGCCACCAAGCTACTAGCACCGCATGGCCCATCAGCGAGCACATGGGGGACCTGAAGATACCGCTTTCTCCATCTTCTGACCAGCTTTTCTGTCTCAGGTGGAGGATCAGGGTGGAGGATGTAGAAACAAATGCCATGTCTACTGTGGTGTTGGAGTCTGAACAGCTCAATGAAAGCCGTGACTAGGACCTCCCAGTGGAAGGGTCCCTACTCCTTCTGCAACTTTCTCAGATTTCCTGAATGTGATTAATTTAATTTAATTTTAATTTATGCATTTAGCAGACGCTTTTATCCAAAGCGACTTACAGTGCATTCAGGCTATAAATTTTTTACCAGTATGTGTGTTCCCTGGGAATCGAACCCACAACCTTTTGCGCTGCTAACACAATGCCCTACCACTGAGCCACAGGAACATATGATTACATACCCAGTTTAGAAGCTGCATCTCAAATTGCCAGAAAATCTTTTTGATTACATTTTTTTTCTGCTGGACAAGAGCGCAACCACACCTCGCAAGGCTGTTTCCCTTTTCTCCAGATCTCCACGATATGGTTTCAAGATCCTGGTCATATTTAGCTAAAATTACTAAACAAGGCGGCAGCAGACTTCACCTACGCCTGCCACACTGTGGCTTCAGGTCACACAGCATTGGCTCTGCACACCCTGGAGGTCATGCAGGTTGATGAGGTTCATGGATAAGCTGCTGAATTGGGTTCTGAGGCCATTCATGAGTTCTGTAGGGCATTGAATTTGGCGCTTAGGCCATGAAGCACATTGCATGCTCAGTGAGCACAGCATGGCAATTATGGTTGCAGAGATGGCTCTGTATTGGCAGTCTGAACTTTGGTATCTCTCCAGGACCGTGTACCTTGGGAGATTTTGCATCAGAAGGACATGTTGTCTGAAGCCCAGGGCACATTTGTCACATCTAGTCAGAACTTTAAAAGGCTGGGAGTTTTGCCCCAAAATGAGAGACTTTATTATTAGATGGGTTGTCCTGAGCTCTGGCAGGTTAGGCTAATGTTGACCAGACAGGTACATTTTTGCCAAGAAACTTGAGACTTTCGCATTGGTTGTTGGATGTGATTTTGCTGGGGTCTATGAGGCGCCTGGATTGCCTTCATCTCTGGATATTCGGACGCATTCTGCTTGAATTTTGGCATCTACATGGGCCCTTGCTAGAGGTACCTATTTACAGGGCATTTGTATGGTGGATATTGGTCCTCTCCCCATACTTCAGATTTTATAACCTGTATTACGAATAAGCTTCTACAAATGGTTTGAATGTGTGAGGCTATATCTTTCCCATTGTGTGATTATGCAGTAATGAGTTCCTACTCAATGTAAGCCTAGTTTCCTGAGTGGGAATGAGAAGCTGCGTAGCTGTGTTGCAGCGTAGGTAAGGTTATTACACTAAACACACTCTTAGAAGGGCTCTATGATGCATCTCCTTTTTTACCTTTACATCTCTGCTAAAGTATTAGCACCATCAGCCAAAAAATTGCTGTGATTATTCAGAACCCTGACCTTGTCACCACTGATATGTTCCCATTGTGTCATTATATAGCATTTCGTTCCTACTTAGTAACACAGTAACCTAGACATTTTGCAATAAAACATAAATATCTACATCATTAATTTAAAATAATTATGCCTAATTATTCCGATATGTAGAATACATTTAACCCAACTGATTTTACATAACTCTAAAGTTACTTTCAATACTGCAAAACAATTAAGATAACAAACATTTTTAAGACCTTTCTAAATTTGATTGAGAAAAATCACACAAATCAAATTCACTCAAACAATTAGCCTATGTTTACAGCCCTGTCTTGTTCAGTACTGATCTGACATTCACTTGCTCTGACCTTTGGTTTTATTTGCTACAGGCAAAAACCACTTAAATGCTGTCCAACCATGAGAACCATTCAGTTTATCAGTCTACCACTCTGCAAGCATGTTGTGTTTTTTTGCTCTCACTTTGTATGTTTTTACAGCATCTTCTTGGCAATTTAATTTTGCTGTCAAGTTTTATCCACCGGACCCCTCCCAGTTAATGGAAGACATTACAAGGTGAGTAGAGTTAAATGTTACAGCTATTTCTCAATGTATATGTTTTGTTTTGTTTTTGTATTTTTTGGCAAGTACCAATATGTAGAAAGCAGGATAGCTGATATATGCATAACTTAATATGACATACATAAAATTCCTAATATAATTGAAAGCATTTTGTTTGTGTGTGTAACTTTGGTTCCTTGAGTTGGTTTACTCAACACTGTGTCAGTCTGATGCTATGCGAACACTATAACACAACGCTATACTACGAAGTGATCAGCAATTTATTACCCTGTGAGTAAACAAGTCAATATTAAAACTACAAAACCTGCTAACGTTCATAATTTAGAGGCCTAACCTGCTGTCACCCAAATACCTTCCAAAGACACTCATTTAGCCAAAACCTCTTGTAGAGTGCACATAAAAGTACCTCACACACCTCATAGGCCTTTAAAATTGTATCTTTCACAAAATGCAACATTCTTGGCTTGGTAGCCGCAAAACCTTTGTTACAACCACCAAAACAAACGAACAATTGGTCATTGTAAATCTTCATTCAACACCCTAACAGAGCAAAGCTTGTGCAATCACTCGCTCTTCCACGACACAAAGGGTGAAGGAAAGACTGCAGCACAACAACTTGACAGCAAAACAGAGTTGAAGCAACTTTGGGAAGATAACCAAGACTTGGCCGCAAACGTTTAAAAGCAAAATCCATACAGCAAGAGCTCATAGACAAAGCCTGGAAATCTTTAAATGCCAAGGACACATGCTTAGCCATCTCACCACACGCACAAACCTAAAGAAAGGCAATTAACAAACATTAGCTGTGCAGCAATAGCCTCTACATAAACCAGTGGAAGACAATTACTGCTCTGACTTATCATGTCACCTAGCAGAATGTAATTATCTCCTCACCAAACCTCTTTCCAGAGACCTTGGCATTAGTGTGCATTGTCAGTATATGATTATCTTATTTGCATTAGATTTAGTATAGCTGATGCCAATAACAAAAAAAATATTGTTTATTTGTTTAATTCAGATTCTCCACTTTATTAATCCAGAGAAACCATTTATTTTTTCCATAATATAACATGTAACTGATATAGTAACATCCAACTCTATTACTTGCATTTATCAATCTTATGCATGTTACTTCCTTAATGGTATTCATTAAGTAGTTGTTAGCAACTCTTGTATATCTTTTTAATAAATCCCCTTTTATTACTTGTGTCTTCCTTGTGTTTATAATACAGTAACTACTAGTTTCTCTCAAACCCTTGTCAGATGACAAACTCACTCTAATTTATAGAATTTTTATTAATTGAACAATCTTCCATGATTGTATTTGTTTGCCAATGACTGCTTGGCTGCCACAATATTATGAAGGAGTCTTGTGAGCCAGATCACTACATTAGTGGTTGTAAGCTAAAATCGTTACAGTACATGTTTGTAGGAATTTCAGCACTGAACACACAGGGCAGTGAACTGGATTTTTACTGCACTCTACACTCAAGATTTGAACAGCCAATGCATGAAACTATATAGACATTGTCAGGTTTTTGCAGACAGAACCCATACGCAGAACAGCCAAAGAGATTTCGAAAAGTCTTTAATATCAAAATTAAAAATCAACACAAAACCTGGGCAAAAACAAGCCCAAACAACAGCCAACAGGGCTGGAAAACAAGAGACCCATGATAGGGCAAAAACTAGCAAACAAAACAAGATAAAAAAACTAGCAAGACACTTGACTTGACCAGCAACTTGACTTGACTGACTAGGAGTAACAGGGAACACAAAACGAACCCGCACTGCACAGATAACAGAGGGAGAATAAATAGGGAACCAAACCAGGCACTGAGCGATCTCGAGACCGCACGCTCAACAACAAGACAAAACATGGAGCTCAACAAGACATGAGTGCCGGGATCCGTACATGAAACAGGAACATGAAACAGGACACACAGACGAGAGCGCACGGTTCGAGCACTCTCGAAGCCGCGCACTCACATGAAAACAATGACATGACGGGAGTGTCAGGGCTCTGTCACAATGAATAAACTAGACCGAAGTGACAGAACCCTGACAGACATCTCATGCAAGGAGCTCTAGCACTCAAAATGGTTTCCATAGTAGCAGACTAAAGAGTCGAACTAATCAAAGTGCTCCATTCAGAGGCTAAACCTAAAGTTTCCACATCTCTGGACAGGGGTGCTACACCTACAAGACCATCATCATGTTGTCTGTCCTCACTACCACATGACAGTCTCGAAGGTCTGAAAAGAAATGACAAAATCAGAAAGACTGCTATCATCTCCAGGCAATTTATGCGCCATGTGAGTGAACCACGCCCAAAACTTGTAAACCATGCCCTGGCTTTGTCAATGATATATGTGTAATGATTCACTTGTGGCAAAAGACTGCCCCTAGATGGGGTCCCTGAGCCAAATGGGGTCCTATGTGTGTAACGGGCAAATATGCTTCAGCAGTTTACCATAAACCTCAACGGGGGGCATGTCCTCCATTTTATGGTCACCAAATCAGGAACAGCCTTCATTTGGCCAGGGCCGAGGAGCCTTGTTTTTCTGTTGTGTACCATTTCCTCAGTGAGTGTTTCGGCTTTTTATCACAAGTCACCCTCAGCTGACACAGACCCACCACAGGCTGATGAGACCTGGGTGGGTGTCACATGGTAGCTAAACTGGTCATTTGGTGTCCCACACTGTCTCCTTTTGATTCAGCCACAGCCAGTGACTGATTCTTTCGGTGACAGTGGCAAGCTCCTTAATTGTTTTCCGCTGGGCCTAGCCTCTGTTACCGACTTCCTTCAGAAGCCTTATTGTGGAACTGGCTACAAATCCCCTCCACATCCACTGGACTCACCATCACCTTCCAGCCCTGATTCTCTGTTTCAGCTGCCAACTCTGCATAGTGCAGCTATACTTTCATTTGTAAGTCTCATTGATACCCTCCTCCCAAGGGACTGTGAGCTCCACAATGAAGACACAACAGCAGGAGTTGGACCAGAGGGCTAGGTCTGGGTAGAAGTTCACTGCGATTTCTGGTGGGAAGGTTAGTCTCTGGTTTAAGTGGCCCTGTTGATGAAATTTAACCTGTTTGTTTCCATGTTTCACAGATCACTCCATGTGATTTTATGTTGATCTAGGCCAGGGATGGCGAACTCCAGTCCTGGAGAGCCGCAGCCCTGCAGAGCTCAGCTCCAACCCTAATAAAATCTCACCTGCCTGTAGCTTCCTAGTAGCCCTTCAGACCTTGATTAGCTTGTTCAGGTGTGTTTGATTAGGGTTGAAGCAAAACTCTGCAGGGCTGCGGCTCTCCAGGACCGACGTTCGCCACCCCTGATCTAGGCCATCCCACCTCATCCAGCAGCCTTGCTGGGCTTCAGAGACCAGTCTGGCACATATGGCTACTTCATATGGTGCCAGCATTCATATGGTGTAGACTTTTGTCATGTGGGTGTTGTTGCCCCCAACCCAAGTCCCCCTCTTCTATGTTGGACTTGCCCAACAAGTGAATTTGCTTCTAAGGGCCACCTTCACTTCTGCTACTACCGAAGCTGGATCCCATTTCCTCCCGGTTGCTAGGGTCAACACAGCACCTCTTTTAAAAGGGTCCTTGAGTGTCATCTCCAGCCTAGCTTTGGCGCATTTGTACTATTTCACAAGGCTTGATAGAGGCAGAGAGAGAGAGAGCTCCGTTCCCATACAGGCCTATGTTGCTAAGGCATCTTGGTAGCCTGAGCCACTTCCTCATTATGAACTCACCATCCTTTCCAGCCACTCAGCATGGGAAGTGTGACCTCATAGGTAACTGGCCACATGAGATGGGGCAGCAACCCAAATTGAAAGCACCACAACTTCGACTTTCCATAGAGAGCAGTGCTGTTTATTTTCTTGAGACCACTAATTGTCTCCCACCTAAATTGTTCCACCTGTTTGGAGTCTTTGAGATATGCAGTGTACCAATGCAATGTCCAAGGTGTACTGCAGTGTACCAACGTCCAAGATTTCTCCACTGTTGGTATTGGCTCTCCATTTATACATAATAATAATAATAATAATAATAATAATACTTATAATAATCCAGAATCATTATTTGTAAACAACAAATGTAAGAAGAAAATTATCAATATCAAAAAATATCAAATACAGTGCAGTGACAAATTAAATTTCGATATTTCGAAGGGTCGATATTTGCCCATTTAATCTCACTTAATGAGGGATTATTAACTACATTATTAACTTTTATTATTATTAACTTATTAACTATAAATTACACAACATTCTAATTATTTTCAATATCATTTTAAAATTAGAATTAAAAAAAAAAAAAAAATTTCCTGGTTTAATAAGGTAATTTTAGAATAAAAGTAGCAGTGGCTGGAACAGACTTTCAGTATCACCTTCACCTAAAAAGATGCAGTCTAATCCTGTTTACATGAAATAAGCCTTCTCCCTAGCAGGTTTGAGCTAATGGAACTGTTGCGATGACAGCAACTCCAGGATGAGCTTTGAAGAATTTAATAATCCTGGATCATGTCAAATTGCCAACAATAAAATCCAGCTAACGGAGTAATCCACATATGAAGAATGGGCCACTGATCTGGCAAAGACTGTGAGACGAGAGGGGCGGGGCCGAGAGCCGTGGGAACGGAGCGAGGCCAGTGGAGTAAATGCTAATGCGCGACACCTGCGCCACTCACCGGTCTCGAGTCCCATGGAGGAGCTCCGGAAGGATAAAAGGAGGAGTGACGACAGTGTTGGACGAGAGAGGACCAGGCCTGGACTTTATTTTGTGTTTTGTGTGCTGCAGTCGTCTGCGAGGGGCTGCCGCTTTACTTTCATTTTGTGTTGGTTTATTTTATTAAAGTGTTTAAATGTTCGCCGTTTCCCACCTCCTTCTTCCCGAACTACGAACGTTGTTACGTTGGTGCCGAAACCCGGGAAGAAGGAGGGACACGCTGCCAGAGATCCCTCGCCGCTGTGGTGAATCCACAGTGCCATTGCCATCTGCCACCATGGAGGCTCGAGGCGGTGGGCTGGAATGAGTTGCCGGGGCGGCGGACAAACTTGCTGCCGGCTGCCTGGAATGTGGAGGGATGGCTGCCGTCCGTGAGGGAGCGGAAGAGTCGCCGCCATTCGCCTGAGGCCGGAGCCTGCTGCCATCCGCCATGATGGGGAGGAGCAGGGAACGCGGGATTCCTGCCGGCTGCCCGAACCCGGAGGAGCCGTCGCCGTCCACCCGGAGGAGCCGTCGCCGTCCACTGGGAGGCGGAGGAGTGTCGGGCCATCCACCGAGGGCTATCCAGGCCAGGCCAGGCATTGCAGAAGAGTTTACCCAGCTGGTCGAGGGCCGAGCGGCAGTGTCTCTGGGAACTGGAGCAAGAATTTTTTTTTTTTTTTTTTACGTTCAAACAAAACTTTAATAATAAAATAAACACAAAATAGCGCGACAGCCCCTCACGGACAACTGTCGTGCACAAACAGAACCAAAACACACAATAAAATCCAGGCCTGGTCCTCTCTCGTCTTTCACTGTCGTAGCTCCTCCTTTTATCCTTCTGGAGCTCCTCCGTGGGACTCGAGACCGGTGAGTGGTGCAGGTGTCGCGCATTAGCATTTACTCCACCGGCCTCGCTCCGTTCCCACGGCTCTCGGCCCCGCCCCTCTCATCACAGACTATTTTAAGGTGTTGAACCAGGCAGTGGAGATATATGGAGATGACAATATTGTAATCTTCAACAAATCGATGACAAAGTTTCAATTTGGGTACTTTTGTGGGCAGGTTAAAAATAAATATTGAATGACCGTGCATTAATTGGTCTGTTTCCTTGCTTTATGTGAAAGGGTATTATGTCACTGATGTATGGATTTAGGGGTCAAATTTGGAACTGCATTTTCAGAGTGATATTCTAAACAAAGTGTGATTAGGCATTTGCTTAATATTTCTTGGGTAAATGGCAATATGGGATCTAAATCTCCAGTTGGTCCCTTATTCGATAATCTACATAATTCATAAATGTGAAGCAAAATACATTTGCATTGACCAGACAGGCCAGATTTATAAATCTTGTCACAGAATTATAGCACATATTG